GCTCGTGCCGCATCTGCACTCACTTCAAACGGATCTTCAAACTGGCCGACGTTTGTGCGAGATATTCTGCAATTGATTGTGGATATACCATTCTCGAAACATATAATATGTCCATTTTCAGTTACATGAGTTTGTTATCAGAAAGAATACATTTTTCACATAACTTTCTGGAATCTCGAATTTATAACAAACTTCACAAAAGTATAGTAGATCAATCCAATCAGGCGTATTGTGCCAGAGTCTGTAACATTGATTACAACAAGACCTTGAATTAGGTGTCGAGAATAAAAAAATGGCCTACTGCTTCCATACCAAACAAATTGCACATGTCATAATATGATCAAGAAACAACGTGCGTACCTTTGAAGGGTGTTTCTTAATGACATGCTAATATTCAAGGCGGCGATTCCTCCGAGGATTCTTCAACTCATTTCAAGAAAATAACTTTCCACTAGCGTATGTTCTGAAAGTCTCAACTTTTGAGATACTAGGGTGATGAAGTTTTGAAAAAGAATCAGTATTTTAATAATAACGACTGGGATAATATTGTAGACATCTTTATGGAATTTGGTATATATCTTCTATATATTATGCATCAAGGTACATTTTTTGATGTATACAATTTTTTTTCTCAATGCCAGTGGCGCCGTGAGGGGGATATGATTGATCAGATTATATTTGAAAGTGAGCATCAAAGGAATATTTCAAAATTTGATAAAATGCTATAAAAAATCATTCAATTTTTTACAAAGGAGATCCTTCCATTTATATCCGATGGGACGCTCGGTTTTCAAGAAAAAACGAGAAAAACGAGATCAAACTTCAAATTCAAAACTTCAATTTGATATAAATGCTAAGCTCGAGTACTCCAATCAGGACATCCATCACTGAATAACAACAGTATGTAACATTTTGAATTTTTTTAAATGTTTTAGTCACATAGCAGAATACATTTTGCCATCAGGTGAAGCTATACAGGGTGGACAATGTTCAACTTTGATTCACTGTATCCCAAAAGTTAGGACGTTAACGACATACGTTCATATGGAGTTTTATTCTTGAAATGGGTCCAAGAATCGCCCCTTGCATATCAGCATGTCGTTAAGGAACACTCCGTATAGGGAGTATAGGAGGAGTAGGAGAAATGTGCCCGAGTTGGCATACATCTCGTGATTATTCAATTTTACTAGAACTTGGTAGTTAAATAGGAGAATATTCAGCCTAACACTAATGAGAATCAACCAAACCCTAACAGTGTTCAGAGTTTAGTAAACTTTTTCGAAAAATCACGTCGGTATCCCATCTCGGACTGAACGTTCTGGTTGAGATTGCATGATATGCCATCTTGGCGAAACTAGAGTAACCCGAAGAAGATAAATATATGATATGGGTTCCAATTGTCTAAGTCTATTCATCAACACATATAAATGAAATTTAATGCTCAATTCATGCAGAGTTAGGTACAATAATCATCACCTTAAACTGAAATTAGCAGAACGTGAAGATATAAAAAACAAGACTTTTATTGATGAATAATGTGATGTTAAAACGGAATAGGAAGTAGGTATGTACCTAAGCTCATTGGTACTGTTAAAATATGTTCACTTGAATCTGCAACAACAAACCAAATAATTGATTTTGCTTCGTAAGGGCGAGTTGGCAAATCATGCCAACTCGCCCAACATATTTCAAAAATGAGACCGATTTAGTCACGACCACAATTCAATATAGCAACGGTTATCAGAATTGTGCTGCGGAAATATCCGAGATCATCATGCTCGGAATGGACACATACATATCTCATTCTTCGATAAGATCATTATCATCGGAACCCTGGTTCAACAAAAACTGTTCTAGAACTGTTGCCTTGAAACAAACAGCCTACCATCGCTAGCGCAAACACCCTAACCTCGCGACTAGAGCAGAATACGTTGATGCCAGGAATAACTGCAGCCAAACAGAAGATGCTTCGAAAGAAACATACGATGTGAAGATAAGATCAAAATTCATAGATTCTCACAATGGCTTCCGTTCGTTTTGGTCCCTTGCTAAAGCGGTCGAAAGAAATTTCACTAATAGTTCATTTCCACCACTGTCCAAATCCAACGGCACATAAGCAAGAACATCGCAGGAGGAAGCAAATATTTTCGCAGAGATGTTTGCAGCAAACTCTACTTCAGATTCCCAAGGAAAAGTGCCGCCAGACATTCCACCCGTTGAGATTCGAATGCCCGAAATCGTCCTCCTTCAACGCACTATCAGACAAATTTTGCTTGCTTACCACCTCAGCTATGCCATCTCTTATCGAGTTTTCTTTCAGGCAGATCGCTCCACGTGGTGGTGGACGGTGTATCGTCTGATGCCATTGGCATCAATTCCGGCGTTTCACAGGGATCAATTTTGGAACCAACATTATTCCTTCTTTATATCAATAATCTGTTTGGAGTAACAACTTGCATCATCCGCAGCTTTGCAGAGAATACTACCCTCCATACTGTGTGCTCTTTCATGATTCCCATTTCTTCCCAGGAAACTGAGAACTCACGGCACAGACAGGTCAATGCTGTCAATAAAGACGTTGCTGAAATCACAGCCTGGGGAACAAACAACCTGGTTGAATTCAAAGCCACCAAAACTCAAGCCTGTATTTTCTCTATGAAGGCGGAACTCTAGAATACTGTTCTCACATATGAGGTTCAGCACCAATACATACGCTGATGCTCTTAGATTCCATCCAGAGAAGATCCATTTTCCTGGTAGGTGACGCCACACCCACTCACTCTTTGACATCATTGGAACACCGTAGAAAGGTCGGCGACCTTCCACTTTTCTATCAATACTTCCACGAGAAATGTTCTTTGGAAATCTCTGCTATCATCCCTTCACTAGCAATACCAGTCGAACGAACTAGACAAGCCCAGTCAGCACATCCTTCCGTTGTCAACCTCGAAAGATGTCGAACAGCACTTTATCAAAACTCCTTCATCCATAGAACGGCTAGGCTCTGGAAATCATTACCGGAGGAAGTATTCCCAAAAACATATAATCTCCCGAAGTTCAAAAAGAATACCAATACCTACCTCCTGTCCCTATCCTCCCTAGGAACGCACGATGTTTTTTGAACATTATAGGGACTTCGTTTCGTGCGCTCCAAGCGATAAAAAAAAGGGAGGTTTACAAAAACCACTTTCGACTGTTGAAACTGAAAAATATATTAGATGACCATGTTCTGCAGCAAGTTATAAAAGTGAATTGAACATTTCTAACCTTCAAGAAATAAATATTGTCATCAGGTAGCCACAAGTCACAAATACATTTGCAGGCTTGTACACAATAAGTGAACAGAAGGAGAAGTTCGATTGCATCGCAAAGTTTGACTTTTGAGGTTGTGAGTACCGTGAAATACTTACATCCTTCGGCAACTAGTCCCGAAGCTTGGCTTGTTCTATTTAAGATGAGTACTGGTTGAGAGTTGACGACGAAATGATGTGCTGACTGGAGATGTCGAGTTCGTCTTACTATAGTATTGCCAGTAACGGGATGATAGGCAAGATTTCTGAAGAATATTTCCCGTGGGAGTTAGTTCATCCAAAGAATATATGAACAGGTCGCACCAACGCAACGATTTTTTACTGAATTCAAAGTTTAAGTGAGTGTGGTTAAACCCACCAGGTAAATGGCATGTCTCTAGATGGAATCTAACAGCACTGAATGAAGCAAAGACCTCAAGAAGAATTGAAATTAGCTCCTTACTGGAAATCGACAACATAATAGGACTCAGTGGAATGATATTGATATAACAGGAAAAGAATAAACAGAGAATCTTGCGAAATGAATTAATTTGAATGGAGATAAACACTGCTTTCTGTTAAATGCCAAAAAAACCATGTTTTGTGATCATTTTCATTATAGCAGAGTCATATTCGCCAATGATAAAATGAGCATATCAATGACAAGTATATAAACAAATTGAGGTCACCAGGAATATTACCTATAATGAGTATTTTATAATAAAGCGTTTATGATGAAATACAAATTACATATGAAAAGACTCAATATATACGCGTATATAATTTTTCTTTATAACAGAGTTTTGGCAATCTATTTGTTCATCGTTCTGTGTGTGGTTATGTAGGTAAAGCTTTGAAATTCTTTGATAATGGAAGTATTCCCAAGAACTTCAAACCTCCAAAAGTTCCAAAATGAATTCAACACCTTCCTCTTCTCGTTGTCCTCCCTCCTTCGAACATTATTAAAATTGACTCTCGTGCGCTCCAAGAGATGAAAAAAATATTGCATAAGTATTTTCCGAAAAATTGTAATGCGAAATTTCAACACAATACCCCCAATAGGTTGTTAGGTATTCAATGGCAAATTTCAACATTGTTTTTCAGTTCACCCTGTCTTGTATCAAAATCTAAGGAGTTGAAATAAACGGTGACGCGATTATTCAATGAAGGATCAAATCAAATACTTTTATACGAATATTCATCGTTGTAGGTTCTTCAAGAAGGTTCGTCTGTATGTTAGGTCAATTTATTGTAATACCTTTAATCTATTTCATTTAGAGAAGCTCCTGTGTTGGTGGAACATGTAGTGTTATCAAGAATTTCGTGTGAATCTAATGTTAGGTTTTCCTCATTAACTGAAAATTTTATGCAGAATTCAAGAATAAAATGAAAATTGGCATTTCTCTTGAAACAAATCAAGTTGATGAACGCAACTCATTTTTATATATCTGTATCGTGAAGGTACATATAAGTTCACCATCAGGAAACAGAGTCAAGAAATTTGAATCAATTTGTTCCAACCCACAAAATATCACTGTATTTTGTCTGAGAATGATTATGAAACGACCTGTTTCAGCTACTTTCTGTTTGTCTACATTACTTGCAGAGAGAATTTTCTCTCGTTTCACGATACTCTTTAAGAAATAACGTGCACTCATTTCAACATAATATGTACAAATGTAGGTAAAGAAATTGAAGGAAGGTACTTACTTACGAGTGAAACAATCTCAAACGGAAGATATCCACGAGAAAACAAGTCACTGAACTGCACGTACCAATACAACACTCTCGAATTTCTCAACTCAACCTGCAGTGAAAGCTATCGACTGGTCATTCTTATACCAACACGCTGTTCTGCTAGCTGAATCCGTTCTGACCAATGAAAACACTGACAAATTTGACTGAGCCAATCTCCCTTCTAGTCATCGGAGATGCAACTTGCTTTCATTGAAATTCGAATAATTTTTCAACGCTCCAGCGCGTGGATCAACATAATTTTTTAATTCGGTCGATATTTGTATTTATTAATGATATTTTTTCAAGTTTCCACGAAATTATATACAATTAGAGAACTCTACCTACCTTTTCTATTCATGGTAAATTAACTTTTTGACGTCATTTTTGAATATGGAATAAAGTATATTTTCGTCAGACGAATTAACCAAATTGTATCTTTTGAATGACTGTTCAGTGTATTGGGTTACCAATTCTTTTGCGAGTTGTTTTTTTTGTGGTATGGTATTGAAATCATACAGTATGGTGCAAATAAATGGAATAAATTCATTATTTTGTAATGAGGCGACCCTACAGAAAAATCCTGATACCCGTCGATTTTTATTATCGAACGCGCATTCTGTCAAATATTTTTGATACGCATGACGTCATTGGTGTGAGCGTGATGACGTCATCGATGATTTTTTTAAATGAAAATGTGGGTCATGTGATATGTCATTGGAAAGGTGTTTCATTTACCTATCCAATCATATTAATGATTTCAAGTAATTTGGGTTTTTATTCTAACAAACAATTGTAGTAATAAAAGAAAATTCCCATTTAATGGATACAAACAACTAAAAAGCAAATGTTCAAACTGCCGACCATCTGCTATAAGACAGTGGGATAGACGAGCAGTAAATTCTTCTCGAACTCTGCCAATAACGTCCTGAGTGATTCGTCCCATCTCGATGCGTATACGGTCTTTGAGATCACGGATATTGTGTGGTCTATTTTGGTAAACTTTAAATTTCAAGTATCCCCATAAAAAGAAATCCAGAGGTGTTAGATCTGGCGACCTAGGTGGCCATTCAATTGCTCCTCTTCTTCCTATCCACAGATCTGGAAAGACGTTGTTCAAGTAGCGTCTCACCACGACAGCATAGTGTGGCGACGCACCATCTTGCTGCAGCCACAAATCAGTTCTGTTTGGGAACAGCCGATTCAGTTCGGGTAGCAAGAAGTTTTGCAGAAATTCTAAATATCGAGGACCTGTCAAGGACTCATCGAAGAAATATGGTCCTATTATCATATTCTCTATAATTCCCGCCCAAACATTCAATTTTTCTGGATATTGAGTATGATATTCCTGCATCCAATGTGGATTTTCAGTAGCCCAATACCGACACGTCTGACGATTGACATGACCGTTTAGGAGAAATGTAGCTTCATCAGAAAAAAGAACATTTCGGAAAAACATCGGATCTGTGTTATTTTTCTCCATCATAATTTCGCGAAATTCAATTCTTCTATCAAAGTCGCCTTCCAGAAGCTCCCGAACTAAACTAACTTTGTAGGGATGCCACTTCTCCTTTTTTAGCGTTCTAAGAACTGTTGAATGGTCAATGTCATTATCTAATGCTACTTGCCTTGAACTGGTATGGGGATTATCTTGAAAAGCTAGTAAAACATCTAGTTTCTTGTCACCTGAAATTTGTTTCTTACTACCTTTGGGTAGGTCTTTCACATGACCCGTTTCTCTGAATTTCTTTTCAATTTTGCTCACCGTGGATTGTGAAATTGGTTCCCGGTTGGGATATTTATTATTGAACAGAGTACAAACTTCTTTTTGCGTTCGTGTTTTGTCTTCACAACCAATCATTATAAGAATTTCGATTCTTTCTGTATCAGTGAGCTTCATATTGATAATTTTCGAATATTTCTACTGGTATAACCATTAACATTCGACAAGCCGATTGAGTTTGATTCGAATGTAGCAGTTTCGATGAGACCCACATGTGTGAACCGGCAAAAAATCAAGTAAGAAGCTATCATTTCGTTCCCAGGGACGGCCTTTTCAAAATTAGATCGTGGTTACTTACAGAGATTCGCAAATCATTAATTGGACACAGAATTTAATAATTTTGTAATGAGTGATCTGTAATTTCAAAATCAATTTTTTTCTGCATACAACAACAATTAGACAAATTTTTCGATATGGTTGGATAGGTAAATGAAACACCTTTCCAATGACATATCACATGACCCACATTTCCATTTGAAAAAATCATCGATGATGTCATCACGCTCACACCAATGACGTCATGCGTATCAAAAATATTCGACAGAATGCGCGTTCGATAATAAAAATCTACGGGTATCAGGATTTTTCTGTAGGGTCGCCTTATTACAAAATAATGAATTTATTCCATTCATTTGCACCATACAGTATATTGTTTGACGAGGACGAGCACGGAAAAATAGTGATTTCCCACGAGAATAAAGTTTGCATATCAATTTTTCTACGGCTGTATAACAGATAACAGTGACATTTTTGATTTCTTCGTCATGTAGCTATTTGATTTCCTCTCAAGTAATGCTCATCCTATTAGACAGAGCTATCATTGCTTGAAATTTGATATTTCATGGGCGACGATATTTTTGTCAGATAATAACACGCCTATGTCATTATGATATCAGATACGGAAATGAAATTGATGACATAGCAGTTCATTGATGTATCGAACACAGTAAAACAAGTGCCATTTTGTGCTTGAGCCGTGAAAAAAATTATTGCGGTTTTCACATTTAGTTCAGTCATTGGGGATAAATAAAAGGGCCCAACTGGAAATGAGTCCGAATGTTTTTGAACTTTGCAGGTTTATAGGTTTGTAGGTTTGGGAGTCCAGAAAATTCACAAAATGCACATTCCGAAACATTTCTAGGGGTCGTCCATTTCTTGAAAATTTCAAGATATTGTCTTGTCAAGTCAAGAAGTGATTTAGGATGTCAAGACAAGAAAAGTAAAGTTATGTCAATATCAAGATTCCTCACCAAGAAAACAAGAAATCTTGAAACTTCTCGACTAAGAATGAAAACGCTCAAACGTGCTTCCATCATTTATGATGAAATGAGCGATAATATCATTATAATGTACTTTTCACCACCACCTCACATACTGGCATCATTACAAGTGTACGACGTCCTTCCGTCAGAAAACAATAATTAAGATCGGTAAACCACCATATTGCCGTAGTAGCACGCGACTGAATATTCAGGAGATCTACTGATCTGGCACATTGATCTTCTGATCAACTGAAACATTCATAATGTAAAAAAAATATGACACATATCTTTAATTATAATCACCTATTATTATCCTTCTTCACCGAATCACATAGACTTATAATATCTTGGGTGAAAATTGGGGGCGCTCTTTAAATGAATTTTCTGGCGCCACTACTTCCGCAGGAATAACGTAATTTTATGAAAAGTGACATTTTGTTACCTGTATCAACATAGATAAAATGTCAAACTTTTTTTCAATCATAAAAAATACATATTTTCTGACGTCATTTTATCATCCCGAAATTTGTATAGCATAAAATGAAATCTACAGAACTTCTGATAAAGCATATCTACTTATTAAAAGGAAATCGAGATGGCAACCCTGGCACGTAACGCAATGAAAAGTCAAGACAATAAACGATATGTCAAGGAAAACGTCAAGACAAGATTTTTCGAAAGTTTTTGACTTTTTCTCAAAACAATACAAGGGGTTGTTATCAAGACATGAATTCTTGTCTTGGCGACCCCTAAACATGTTTTTGGGCTTCCGCATCTCGTTCAGATGCCACTCAAATATAGAATTTTTCTGTGACGGAAAAAAATTCGACGGTTCATCTCTGTTGACAGGTTATAAAATGTCATGGAATGAATTATGTGAGTACTTTGTTCCTGTGAAAAATTATATAATTTCTATAAACGGATGCCCTAAAAGGCCCTAACTATCTCCATGCGTATAAATGTATCTTTCATAAGAAAACAGGCTATTCAATTGGTTTCTCGTTATATTCATCAATAGCTCACTGAATAGAAAAAATCTCTTATAAAATATGTTCCTAGTATGTTTTCGTTAAAGTGAACACAATTAATGCCCTTGCCGAACGGAAAATGTTGCTGTAGTGTTTTGTAGAGGCGAATTTAGGAAATGATATGTATATAAGGGGTCCCCAAATCCAATACTATAGGACTTTATGAATATTCATCGATAGATTCAATGATCAATTCATGTTGATAATTTTTGATCAGATGGCAAGTTCTCAGAAATACTAACGCTCTGCCGCTAACTTAGCTCACTCTGATTCGTGTCAATTTTGAATATTCGCAGAGTAGTACTAGCGGTACACATCATCATTCAGAAGAAAACCGCATTTCATGTTAGCAAGCCACTTGGTACAGTTGTTGTTAAGACCTTTTTGAACGATTCTGCACGTAGTTTTTCTCAAATCGTGAAATTGCTAAAAAAGACGGATTTTGACAATCGAGGGGTTCATTTCGGTTGATGTTTGTTCGCTGAGATCGAATTTTAGGTCATTATTGTCATTCGAACAGTAATTTGTCATATTTCAAGAAAAACATTTTTTCTCCTTCAAATCGTTGAAGTATGATAAACGTCAGTACACCAGCTATAATAAAGTCGATTTTCACTAAATCGATGCCGCTGAATCAAAAAATGACAACAAAATTGAATTCGGGTGGAAACTGGGGGTAGTAGATACCTCTCAAATCATTTTATATTCGAATATATCGAGTTTGTTGTCGTTTTCGACTTATTCGGTATCGCTGAGCACGATGACCGGTACATTCTTCTCCAGGAACCATCTGCTGCGTCATCACTTAGAGTGATTTTGTTTCTAAGGGGCAACGGAAGTCGAAATATTGCAGCTTGGAGGAAGCTGATGGAAGACTCATATACGGCGCCAAGGATCCGGATATCACGACAGTAAACAGCGCCTGCGAATTTATGTTCGTCATCTTGAACCGACCAGTACAAGTCATACCCTCTTCGGAATGCTCACCAGGCTGGACAGGTCTGGGGAAGAGCAGCCGTCGGTAGCAAACCGCCCTCGCCGGAATCTTGGGGCTGGACACTCCAG